CTAGAAATGGGGAAACGGAGGATTGGGGAATGAGGGAACGAAGGAATGAAGGAACTGTGGAATGACAGAACGGGGGAATGACGGAACGGGGAATGAAGGGATGGGGATGTGAAGAAATCGGAGGAATGGGCAAATGGGGAAATGGAGAATTTCGAAATTGAGGACTGGCGGCCAGTGAAGAAGCAGGGAAAGGGGGAATGGGGGGAACGTCAATTTAAAATCTGTGTACTCTGTACAACAGTATACAATACATACATATGTTTGCTGATCATGATGTCTGCACTACACTACAATGTACAAAAACTGGTAAAGAAATAATAATTGGAAAGAAGTTGTGAACAAAGAGACCTAAGAGCAGAGAATGAAAAGTTGAATGAATGAGCTGCATATTCTGATCATTAAGACGAGTTCACTCTATAATTTAAAAAGGTTAAAAAGGTTTCTAAATACATGTCTCAACAAGAGCGCGGCGTCTAAATCTCAATTGAAAAGAAAAATAAATAGACTAATGACCTGTAAGGAAAAAAGGGGGGAATGGGGAATGAGGGNAAGATGGAGTAGTATACAAACTAAAGAGAAAAAACAAATGAAAGAAATCCAAGAAGACATGAAGTACAGTGTTTTCTACTAAAAATGAAAATTTAAAGGCGACCCTGAACATTTGATTAAACCCTGAAATGTTTGAACAAACCGTAATGAAACTTCTCGTAACGCAAACTTTAGAATAATAAAAGGAAATTCGTTCAATACTTTAAAGTGTATTTTACCTGTTAAAAATAACAAATTCGCACATCCGTAAATGACGTTAGTTTCAAAACTAAACTTCCAAATCTTCAATATTTAACTGAGTTATTTCTATTCTCTATCTGTTGTTTTCAATGACTAATTATAGCGCACCATTTTGAATAATAAAATCGAAAACGTTTAAATCAAGTTTAAAAAGGCCAGCGAAAAAAAAATGTCACGGCTAAAGTAATTTTCATTTTTTTCCTATTTTCATGCACTTCAATTGAAGGAGCATTGATTTAACACTAATGATCAGTTCTTCAGCTAACTAATCTAATCTAATCTAATCTAATAATTTATTTTTCCGTTGCAAATATGACAGGTTGAGCATAAAAATTACATATTTATATGATTTCTATTAATTATCACAAACATACTAAACCCATGGATTTAAAGGGAGTGTTCGCGATAAATGAAAGGGGGTGTAGGCTTAATGCGATAAAAAAATGCTTTTGATCGCTACTAATCTTACTTCTATCTGTTGCGTCTATAAGGCCGGGGAGAAAATTGTTAAAAACGACTAATACCGAAGAACGTAGTGTCTATACAAATTCAGAAAGATGCAGCATTCAATTCGGATCGTAAACAAATCAATTTAATTCCAAACAAATCATTCAGATATTTCAAACAATAGTCATCGATTATTTTTCGACGCATTCGTAAATAGTTGATATTTCATAATATTTTGTATTTTGCATGATCTGAGAGTTACTTTTGAAAACATTTATTCCTGTTTCGAGGATTTTTGATAATGAAGACGACATTTTCATATTTTCCAGGAATGTTCGAAAATCAGCTCCAGTAAAAATTATTTAAAAAAAGACAAGAAAAAAAAATATTATGAAATATTAACTATATACAAATGCGTCGAAAAATAATCGATGACTACTGTTTGTAACATCTGAATGATTTGTTTGGAATTAAATTGATTTGTTTATGATCCGAGTTGAATGTTGCATCTTTCCGAATTTGCATGGACGCTGCGTTCTTCGGTGTGAGTCGTTTTAACAATTTTCTCCTTATAGACGCAACAGATAAAAGTAAGATTAGTAGCGATCAAAAGCGCTTTTTTATCGCATTAAGCTTATATACCCCCTTTAATTTTTCGCGAACACTCCCTTTAACACAAACAAGCAGTCCTTTATGGGTTTAAAACGGACAAACAGTCAGTCTGCTAAACCCATGGATTTAACAAAAACAATTAGTCCATCTGCTAAACCCATGGATTTAACAAAAACAATCAGTCCATCTGCTAAACCCATGGATTTTATACAAACAAGCAGTCCTTCTACTAAATCCATGGATTTTATACAAACAAGCAGTCCTTCTGCTAAACCCATGGATTTTATGCAAACAAGCAGTCCTTCTTCTACTAAACCCATGGATTTTATACAAACAAGCAGTCCTTCTGCTAAACCCATGGATTTAATACAAACAAGCAGTCCTTCTACTAAACCCATGGATTTTATACAAACAAGCAGTTCTTCTACTAAACCCATGGATTTGATACAAACAAGCAGTTCTTCTACTTAACCCATGGATTTGATACAAACAAGCAATTCTTCTACTAAACCCATGGATTTAATACAAACAAGCAGTCTTTCTACTAAACCCATGGATTTAACACAAACAAGCAGTCCTTCTACTAAACCCTTGGATTTAATTCAAACAAGCAGTCCTTCTACTAAACCCATGGATTTAACACAAACAAGCAGTCCAGCTTCTACTAAACCCTTGGATAATACAAACTGAATCCATGGTCGCAGTCGTGATACTTACTTTGGTATAAAATATTAATACTTTTATGCCTTGATAAGTGATACCTAGGAATGGTTTCAAGACCGTACAAAATCTTCATCGGAAAATGGTTGTAAAAGCAATATTTAAAAAAAAACAGATCACAATACTCTTATTCAAATGTTTTATAAAGTTTATTTGATCGTTATTAGAATTTGTTTAAACTTGTTAAAAACAATAAGTAGAAAGTATAACTTAGTTAATTCAGATATTAAAGGGACTGTGAGCATACCTTCAAGTTCACCTCAATGCAAAAAAAAGAAAAAGCCCGTTTCACAACGAAACCCTGCAAATCTGATCTAAAATGCGAAAGATATGTTTGTTCTTTAACATTCCCATTTTTTTATTTTTAAAGGGAGTGACCGGCCGGCTATGTAAGGTAATTAAACTAAGTATGCAGTGTTGTGGACAAATTCTTAAGGATTCATTTGAGACATATTGAAAATCGTTTTAAATGTCGTCTTCCATACACTGTATTAGATATTAAAGCCTGTTAGCAGTTTATATTTTACTTTGAAATTCATTTTGCTAAAATATGACTCCTTTATAATATTTGTATTATTGTCTTTGGTATAAAACAACTTAACAAATTATGGAAGAAGACATTCTAAACTATTTACCAACTGTCATGCTTCGTGGGGCACCCTGTATTTCGTTGCTTTGTTAATATTAAAGAACTTTAAAAAAAAATTGAAGAGGTCAAAAAATCCATTGAGAAGCTTTGCAGTTCTTTGCACGCTTCAAAATCATGTATCATACTTTTTGGGTAGACGATTTTGTGCATGAGTTAAGCCTTGATTAGTGGGATACGAAGGGGGGAGGGGTCGTAAAGAATTAGGGTTGCAAGGGGGGGGGG